AGCTCATTCCTTTTTATCACTGAATAGTATTCCATTGTATGATTTTACCACGGTTTATTTATCCATTCACCTATTGAAGACCATCTTGGTTGCTTCCAATTTGGGGCAATTATGGATAAAACTGCTATAAACATTTGTGTGCTGGTTCTTGTGTAGACATAAGTATTCGAACCAATCGTGTAAATACCTAGGAGTGTGACTGCTGGACTGTATGGTAAGACTATGTTTAACTTATTAAGAAACTAACCAACTCTCTCTCAAAGTGGCTGTATTTAGCATTTCCATCACTAATGAATAATAATTCTTGTTGTTCCTAATCTTCACTAACAATTGGTAGTGTCAGTAATAAAAAATTTTTAGCCATTCTGATAGGTTTATAATGGTATCGTGTTTTAATTTGCATCTCCCTAATGACAAATGATGTTGAGCATCTTTTCATATGCTAATTTGCTATCTATATATCTTCTTTGGTAAGGTGTCTATTCAAATCTTTTGTTCATTTTTAAAAATTTCATTGTTTGTTTTCTTATTGTTGTGTTTTGAGACTTATTTATACATTTCATTTACAAGTTCTTTATCAGATTTGTGTCTCGCAAATATTATCCCCAGTTTATTACTTCTCTTTTCATTCACTTAATGTTCTTTCATAGAGCAGAAGATTTTAATTTTAATAAAGCCCAACATATTAATTTTTACTTTCTTGGAACAGGCTTGGTGGTGGTATTTATCTAAAACCTCATCAACAAACCCAAAGTCCTTTGGATTTCCTCCTATTTTTCTCCTAGAAGTTTTATAGTTTTGCATTTTACACTATGATCTATAATCCATTTTGAGTTAATTTTTATTAGGTCTGAAGATTTTAAAAAAATGACAGTTCTATTGAGATAATTCACATACCATACAGTTTACCCATTTAAAGTATACAATTTAGCAGTTTTTACTATGTTCACAGGTATGTACAACCATCACTGCAATCAATTTTAGAACATTTCTTCACCTCAAAAAGAAGCCCTGTACCTCTAGCTACCACACCACCTCAACACCCCATCCTCCCCAGCAATAAGCAACCACTAATCTATTTTTAGTCTCTATAAATTTCTCTATGCTGAACATTTCATGCAAATGGAATCATATAATATGTGACTTTTTGTGATTGCTTTTTTCACTTAACATATTTTCAAGGCTCATCCGTGCTGTAGCATGTGTCAGTACCTCAGTCATTTTTAATGCAGAAGGATATTCCATTTTATAGATATACCACATTGTACTTACCCATTCTTCAGTTAGTGGACATTTGCGTTGCTTCCACTTTTGGCTACTAGGAATATTGCTATGAGCATTCTTGTACAAGGTTTTGCGTGGACGTATGCTTTCATTTATCTTGGCATATACCTAGGAGTGGAATTTCTGGGTTATATTGTAACTCTATGTTTAACTTTTTGAGGAACTGCCAAAATGTTTTTCATTGTACTGTTGTACAGTGGTTGTACCGTTTACAATCCCCTCAGCAGTGTATTATGGTTCCAAGTTTTCCATATCCTCATCAGCACTTATTATCTGACTTTTTGATTATAGCTATCCTGGTAGATGTAAAGTGCTTTTGATTTGCATTTCCCCAGATGACTAATGATGTCAAGCTTCTTCTTCATGTGCTTATCGGCCATTTGTGTAACTTTTTTTGGAAAAACGTCTATTCAGATTCTTTGCCCAATTTAAAAATTGCATTGTCTTCTTATTAATGAGTTCTAAGATTTCTTTATATATATTGCAGCTAGGAGTCCCTTATCAGATATATGCTTTGCAAATATTTTCTCCCATTCTGTGCATCGTTTTTACTTTCTTGAAAGTGCCCGTTGAAGTACGAAAGTTTTTAATTTTGATAAAATCCAATTTATTTAATTTTTCTTTTGTTGCTCGTGCTTTTGGTGTCACATTTAAGAATTCATTGCTATTTCTGTTGTGAAGATTTACCCTAATGTTTTCTTCTAATAGTTTTATATTTTTAGCTTGTTCATTTAGGTCTGTGGTCCATTTTGAGTTTATTTTTGTATGTGGTATGGGAAAGGGCCTAACTTCATTCTTTGAGTTCTGGTGCTAGAGGCAGGGACAGCCTTGTACCTTTCTCTCTGAGTGACACCCCCACTTTAGGAGCTGAGTGCTTGGTAGGAAGGGGCAGCAATCTCAGGTCTTCTGGCTTTCCCCAATATTCTCAGGAGTGCTGTGCCCATGGTAGAGCTTCCATCTCATAGTTGGGGGCTGGGCCAAGGAAGGGAGCCTCTGCCTCTCTCTGTATTTGACGAGACCTTAATCTCAACAATAGGGATCTGAGGTCAGGATGATAAATGCTGATATACCTCTCACTGGGAAGAGGGACGAGGGAGGGGAGAGGGAGCCCTGTGTTCTAGGCTGCACCAGTGTGGAGGGGAGTTCCCCTCTTGTTGAGCTAACCGGAAGCAAGGAGGGAGGGACTGGGGTCTTGGTTCAAATACCATAGACTCACTTTTCTTACTGAGCTTTAGTGAATTTTCTTGCTGTGTGCCCATAAGACCATTTCCAGAGATTTAAAAAAATAATAATTTTCACCAGTTTTGCTGTGGGATGGGTGCACAGAGCTCCTCATTGTCATGCTGCTATAGATTCTTTTTTGATAACTCAGTGAGACTATGGGGAGCGGAAAACCAGAAAACTCAAATTCTGGTGCCCACATAATAATTCATTCTGTATTGATTAAGTATCAACTAAGAAAATGGCTCAGAACTAAAAATGGATTGAGTCGATGATGGTAACCAAAGCAGGGAGTTCTGTACTGGCAGACACACCATTACCCATAAACTTTATTGAATATCTATTGTATGTGAGGTACAAGAATAAAGGCTAAAAAGCTAAAAATCTATTTTAGAAATTAGGAGATTTTCATAAAGAGAGAACTAATAAACTAAGGCAGCCTATACTAAATGCCCAGAGAATAAATGCTCCCGTTTTTCAGGGGTATGAGAAACTATCCAGAACTGGAGTGGTCAGGGAAGATTTCTGTGGGAGAGAAGTGAGCTCAGCTAGGTTTGGAGGAAGAGTAAGATCAAACTGTGTGTGTGCGTGTGCATGTGTGCGTGTGTGTGTGCGTGTGCACACGCGTGTGTGTGTGTTTGTGTGTTGGGGGAGGGCATTCCAAGGCAGAGCTGCCGAAGTGAGATTGCATTTGGTATGCTGAAGCAATAATGTGCAGACCTGCCTGCTTGCTGGTAGGTCTGTATGGAGAAAAGAGGAGATGACCAGAAAAGTGTCTGTGAGGGTGAGTGTGAGTGTGAGTGTGTGAATGTGTGTGTGTGAATGTGAGTGTGAGTGTGTGAGTGTGTATGTGTGTAAGTGTGTGAATGTGAGTGTGTGTGAGTGTGTGTGAATGAAATGTGTGTGTGTGTGAATGTGTGTGTGTGTGTGTGTGTGTGTGTGCACACGTGCATACAGTAGGGAGCCTGGGTGCAAGGAGACCAGTTATTAGACTGTTAAAAAGAAATGAAGGTCTGGATTAAGTGAAGGGGATAGGAATGGCAGTAAGTGTCTGGTGACTAGTAAGATATAATGAGGCCTTCAATAAGGCCAACCAGTTTATGAAAGAAACATGGCAGTTTCCATTAAAAAAAAAAATCTTAAAATGCAAGGTGACATGGTCTGATTTAGTGATTTAAGACACTACGCATGTTTTAAAGATAGATTTCTCATACAGTAACTATAACTAAACGGGGTCTTTTTGTTTTTGAATTCGCATGTATTTTTCTTTCCTTTTATTACTTCGAATTGCTCCTCTCCACAATTCGCTTGATTTGATCTCAAATTAATCCCTTGTCTGTATCTGCAGGAGGAAGCCCAGGGTTGCAACAATGGCAAAGATTGTATATGGTTTCATGGATGGCTTTCCTCCTTTGAAAATAGCTAACCGCATAGAAATAGGAGGCACGTGGCCAAACTCTTGCTTTTTAGCAGGTCTCACATGACCTTCAAAACTCCTTAGGACAAGCTGCTCTTCTGTGGGGCTGCATTGCCTGTCAGACTCAGGCTGGCAGAGTGTCCGGGGCTGCCTGGATGTCTATGGCTCGCGATTGTGAGGCGAGAGTTGGCAAAACAATTAAAAACACGGATAAAAAACAAACCACAAAACCCTATGCCTTATCACAGTGGGCTGATAAGTGAAGTCGCGGAAGGTTCAGCTCTTGCCCTTTTAAAATTCCAGTGCAGCACACACACGCGCGCGCGCGCGCGCACACACACACACACACACACACACACGCACCCCTTCCCATCGGCTCTTCCCATTCTGCCATACTGTACCAGCGTCCCTCCCCAAGCCCTGATTCATGAACCGTGCCACCTTTGTCTCATTTTAAACTGTGCAGACTATTTTAATCCTCCCACCCCCACCGCCGATTTCCCCCTCCCTTCATCCTCTGGAGAGCTCTGATGTAAGGCGCTCGCGAGGTGGGAGAGCGCTTCTCCCCATCCACTCCGGTGGGCGAGATCCCGAGAAGCCCCTGGGCGGGAACTTCCCCTGCGGGGGCCGCTGCCCGGGACCCCGCTGCGGGCGCGGGGGAAGCGCTCTCAGAAGTGCGGGAGGGGAGCCTGGAGCTGGCGCGGTCTGGTAGCCGGGTGGGGAAGTCCTGCCGCCTTCCCCTCCCCTTCCCCGCTTCCGAGACCCCGGGGGCCCGTCCGCCCTCCGCCCACCGCTCTCGGGCGGGCCATGCGGCCGTGAACCATGTCCTCCTCCTACGCCAAGAACGGGACTGCGGACGGGCCGCACTCGCCCACCTCGCAGGTACCGCCCCCTCCTCCGCCTCCCCCCTCCCCAGGGCCCGAGAGCGCCCCGCCTTCTTGCCCAGCGTGCGGGGCCCCCAGTCCCGAGAGTCGGCGGCCTCTCTCCCCTACCCCTCCTCCGCGTCCGTCTCTCCTCCCGCTGCTCCTCCTTCTCCGCCTCCTCCTCACCTCGTCGGGTCTCTGCGCTCCCGCTCCGGAGCCCGCAGCCTTCCCCAGCGGATGCCGGGGACTCGGACCCCGCGCCCTGAGAGTCTTTGTTAATGGATGTGGTGGGTGCTCGCGCGCTGCTCTTCTCGGGCATCTTTTCAGCTGTCGAGGCTAGCGGTGGGTGGGTGGGGGTGGGGGCTGGATTTGGGGACCGCGGAGGAGACTTGGGTGCGGGCTCTGGGAGACCCTGGGGAGCTGGTCTGGAGGCGGACTCTAGCCGGGGGTGGTCGCCCGGCTCTACGCTGCGGTCCTCACCCGCTTTTCTCTGGCCCTGTGTGTCGAGTCCAGGTGGCCCGAGGCACCACGACCCGGAGAAGCAGGTTGAAAAGATCCGATGGCAGCACCACTTCGACCAGCTTCATCCTCAGACAGGTAGGAGGTTGGCGCGGGGCGGAGGAGCGGGAGCAGGTTGGGCAGGAGGCCGAGCGCCCGGCGCGGGGGTCTGGGGACCGAGCGCAGACCCCGCCCGCCAGAGCGGCGCGTCTGGTCTCCGCGCGCGCCTCTTTCCCGCGCGGGACAGGCGCTCCGACTGCGTCCTTCTGCCTCTGCCCCCTGCTTGCGAAGTCTTCGGGTCCAGGCGTCTCCGCACCGCCCTGGGAAGTTAGTAGTGCGTGTGGACGCACGTCGGCAGAGACCTGGTTTAGGGCAGGGACATTGAATTTAAGACTGGAATATTTCTGGTTGCATCTTCGGTGCGTGGGGAAACGTCTTTAAGATGCGTAACTTGGCTTCTGAGTAACCAAAGCCCCTGGGGCCGCGCACCTGATTTGATTCGGCTGAAAGTTAGGGATCTCCTCTATTTAGCCCTATTTTGAATACTCTTTTCTGTTTGGGTCGTGGGGAAGATCTCCGGGTTCCGGTCAAAAGAAAGACACTTTGTGCAGAAAGTTTGGTCTCAGTTCCGCAGTTCCTTTGGGATCAGTTCCTTGGTTCTCTTAATTAGGGAGACGCCGAATCTGGTTAAATCGAAATAAGGGAAGGCCAGCATTCAGTTCCCAGGGTCTGGGTGGTACTACGCTTAGTGTTTGCTTCTTAGTGATTTTCTTTTGCGTGATTCTCCTATGCGTTGTGTGGGGGAAAGATCTCAGGTTATGCTGAATGCTTAGGTGCTTTTCATCTTGATCCAGGAAATTGGTTAATTTTCGTCCTGTCCATGTGTTGTAAATGAATCCATATCTACATAGCTTCTGGGTGGTAGAGAGATCACGCAAAAATGAGTCACCTTGATCTTTCTCTCTCTCTCTCTCTCTCTCTCTCTCTCTCTTTCTCTCTTTTTTTTTGGAATAGGAACTGTCTAGGTATGTGCGTTTGGGGGGACCTGGGAGGACTTTGGTCCTCTCACCAAGACGCTCTTATTCCAGGCTCCACTGTGGGCCGCTGGAGTGACCTTGGGAAGTTCTTTTCCCTGCTAGGTCACTTAGAGCATTGTGTAATGTGTTTTTAACCCATGATGGCAGCTTTGCTATGTTCCTTTAGAGATTATCTCATCAGTTTAAACAGGTTATCCATGACAAATGGGCATTAGACTAAAAAATTGGACTCAAACTTCTCCTAAATAGAGTCCATAAAGCATATGTATACGATATTTATTATGCAGATTTATTTTCTACAGAAACGTTATTACTATTTTTCTTTAATCAGTGAGTACTAAGCATGTGCATTATTAAAATAAATACATTTTGGATTCTGAATTCATTCCTAAAGTGCATTCTGTTCTCTTTGCAGTGCTTAGATTATTTACGTGTTTGATAAGGCAGAGACATTCTTCATCTTTAAAAAATTTTGAGTTATATGACTGAAAAATAGGTGACTATTTTGGGTAGTGTTTTATTGTTGCAAAATTCTTAGAAATACTAATTATACAGTAGTGTATTCCATGAACTGTTTGACTAAAACTTTTGAATTCATCTACACCACCACTTCACTAATGCTTTACTTTTCCAACACAAAACAATCAATATTCTTTCTGATGTTCTTTCTTCAATTTGTTCCAATAAATTATTGAGTGAGGTAACATGTATAATACATCCTAGTTAAGTGCTTCTATATGTTGCCTTAAAAATGTAAAAAGCATTGCTTGCTAAATAATTTTGGGAGTAAGTTAAACCAATGCAGATTTTTAGAACAAATATATTTTATTAGTCTTTCTGGAACTGGTATTTGTTAGTTTAATAAAAATGGTCTAATTTAAATTCAGGAGTTAGTTGTGAAAAAAAAAAAAAAAACAACTTAGTTTTTATGAGCACTTACAGTTCAGGAAGTACCCTACACATGGTCTAGTTTAAATGACATAATACAGACTTTTATAATGGCTACAGGAAAAATAACCAAGGGATATTTTTTTAATTCTGTGAAAGATGAAAAATGATTGCAAATGGAATTTAACAGTATATTTTTTGAAATAAAATTGAACAGTTAAAAAAAACAACTTAGTTTTTATGAGCACTTACAGTTCAGGAAGTACCCTACACATGGTCTAGTTTAAATGACATAATACAGACTTTTATAATGGCTACAGGAAAAATAACCAAGGGATATTTTTTTAATTCTGTGAAAGATGAAAAATGATTGCAAATGGAATTTAACAGTATATTTTTTGAAATAAAATTGAACAGTTTTCACCCAAATGTGGAAAATTTTTTTTTTAAAAAAAGCACAACATCTGTTTATGTTATCAGAGCCTCATTGTTTGTTGGATGACCGGTGATTTATTGTTTTTGAGTTCTTGGTACACTGGAGTGATGGAATGTCTTGGTTGATATTTCCCAGTCTGTGTAATGCTTTTGCACATAAAGATGGTAGGAAATACCAATAAAAATAGTACTGCTTATTACTTTGTCCTATTATTTAAAATATGTAGGAAGAAAGTTTTCACTAAAAGAAAAATTGATGTGTCAAATCAGATGGGTAACACTGAGCTGGTGGTGAAGAATAGAGGACAGTTGGCAAACTCACCTAATAAAACAATGTTTATTCTTTGTGCTGATAAATTTCAGTGTTTTGTGTGCACATGCGTGCATGTGCACACATACACATGCACGCATGTGAGTTGGCCTGAAAACAAGTGGACTGAGAAAGAGAACCTGCTTCTACTCTGAGGGCTGTGCACAAAGTCCCTCAGGCATCCTTGACCTTGTTTCCTGGTTTACTAGATTGCTGGCCTCCACAATTTAGGAGGGATGGAGGTTTTGGAATGAATCCAGGGAGCAACTTAATGGTTTTTTTGAGGAAAGGTGAGAAGATGAAGTCTTTTGCCACTGAAAGGAGAGAGAGCTAGGGGTGACCTAGTAATGATCTTCAAAGTGTACGCAAAGACAGTCTTTGGAAATATGGACTGTTGTCAGTGTTTTTTTTTTGAGTATGAAATTCAAAAATTGATAACAATTAGAAAGGAATGCTTTTTTACAGCAAGACTTTCCTAAGAGTGTTGCTATCATTGGAATGGCTGACCAGCTATTTATGAATAGATTATTTTATTCATGTTTTAAAGTTTTAGGAAACACTTATTAAACATTCGCTATGTGCCCAGTACTCTGCTAGATGCTATGAAGGAGGAATGAAAAGATGAATGAGACACAGCCCCTGTACTAAAAGGATTTTATAATCTAGTGATGGAGACACAGACCCATAGAAAGGAACAATCTATGCATAGCATAGATGTGTGGCAGTACACCAAGGAATGGGGGTGTGGGCAAAACACTCATGTGCGTTGAGTACTGACATACCAGTGGATATCACTGCATATGCAGTTTGTATGGTACAGTACTCCAGGTTATTCTCACTGGGGTTACTCCCAGTTTTCTCCCACTGGGGTTCCAAGAGAAAATATTATCAGGGTGGGATTAATTGACCTCTCCTTGTTAAGTCTGCCCTTATGAGGACTACAAAATCTTAGAAGGGCTAGTAGCCCTTACCAGTTTCAAGCATCATCTTGAGCCCAGATCTCTTAGTTCTGGACACATGTATTGAACACACCACCTTCCCTTCTGCCATAAGCCCTTTGTACATGCTAAGCCTCTCTAGAGGGCTATTACTTTCCCCTTTGCCCAGTTAACTTTTAATCTTCCTTCTAAGTCATCATTTCTTTTTCTAACCTCCTAACTTTAGTCATCATTTCTTTTTCTAACCTCCCTGATGAGGTCAGCTCCTTAACTGTACACCTCATCCCAGAGTGCTCTGTGCCAATTCTCAGTATCATCACTATTATAATTTAACATGTAATTAGATTTCTCTGTTACTGTCTTTCTCCTCATCCAGATAATAAGTTTCACTAGGGCAGGGACATGTCTGCATTTGGTCTCCTTTGCATCCTCAGCATTAAGCATAGTAAATGTTCAATAAATATTAATTTGAATGAATGAAAGAATGGAAGGTTAGAGGACCAGCTTGATATATTTTTGTCATGGAGTTCCATTTCAACATTAAAATTTTTGTTTAATGGGGAGAAATTGTTTCCTAACAAACCTCCACAAAATTTAGTGGCTTAAAGCAACAACACCCTTTTTTTTTCCCTCTATGTGCTGACCAGACAGTTCTGTTTTGTGTGATGTTATTTGGGCTCTGGCTTGGCTGAAAGGTCTAAAATAACCTCACACGTGGTTGGCATTTGGTGCTGGTTGCTGGCTGAGAACTGAACTAGAGCTTTTGGCAGGGGGCTTAGTTTTCCTCTACCTGGGCCTCTCAGTGTGGTTTCTTGAACTTCCTCACAACGTGGTGGCTGAGTTCCAAAAAGGAGCATCCCCAGAAGTAGAGACTGAAGCTGCAGATTTGGTAAGACCATTTTCAAAAGCTACCTGACACTAATTCTGTTCCAGCCTCTATGTCAAAACAGACCAAAAGACCAGCCCAGTTTCAAAGGGAGGGGAAACAGACTCTGTCTTTTGATGGGATGTGTCAAGGTCACCTAACAAAAAGCATGTGGAACAGAATACATTGTTGCAGCTGTCTCAAACCATCTACTTTAGCACAAGGAACTCTGTGTATTTTTAGGTATGCTAATCAAATGATCATTATACTAATGCAATGAACACATACTATATTTAGAGACCAAAACGTATTGAGATACTAAGTTGATACTATAATAAAACGAGTTGGCAAAAAAAATTTCTTTGGGTTATAATTTGAGCACTGATTATAGACATGTTTTTCTGATGAAATGCAAATTTTTCTCCAATGAAATGCAAATTCATCAACAGAAGGTGTATATGCTTTGTGCTTAGCTCTAAGAATAATCATATGCCTAGAGGCCTATATATATGCAAAATTTATCCATAAACTTAGAATCATAGAATTTTAGAAGAAGAGATTGTAGAGGGAAAGTACTTCAATTCCCCATTTTCAGATGAATAAAACAGAGAGTACTTCAATTCCCC